ACTCTCTGTACATCCTCCATCTAAACAAATAAAAAAAAATCAAATTTAAATTCTTAAATTCAAATTTTTAAAGTATATGCATTTTACCTTATACAAATATATTTGTTTGCACTACATTGAATGCTCAATTATTTCCATTATTAAGAGAATTTCTAATTCAAGGTATGCAAAGTCAACTTTTTAGAAATCTTCATAAAAGAATTAAATTTACATGTTAATTTTAAAGGTTAACTCTTGTCTAAGTACCACTTATTACAAAGAGAAGTATTTGTCCAATCTACAACCTGTTTAAGTGTTAAAATTCTGATGATTTCTGTACTTTAAATAAATGAGTACATTCACCAAAGACATAATCTGACCAGATACATGCAAGATACATGTTTATATGCATCCACATTTATGAAGTAATGTACTAAATATGCTTATATGTATTCTATCTCATTAATTTTTTCCCTGTCCACACATCCTACCTGAGCATACAGTGAGTGTAACTGAGTAGTTAGTGTACGGTTGTAGTGTGTCCACTCTCAGACTCTGTATACTGATGTTTCTTATTTCATGCTGTTCCTTGTTCAGACGTATAACGTAGTATTCCAGGATTCCGTTTGCTCTCACTGGTTTATCCCAAGTCAGCGTTAGAGAGGTCGGACTGTTTACTGTTATGTCAGGGGGCATCACTCCTGTGGGTTCTATAATTCAAATAATATCAGTAAATTACAAGTACACATGTATAACAAAGTGTTTTGCTTTGTCATTAACATAATTTGTTATATCTATGAAGTACACAATATATTTTAAAGCCATGGGCAATGAAAACCTTTTTAAGCATGTTTGCAATTATCATGTCTACCTGAATTTAAAAATATTTCAGCATATTATTTACATGAAAAAAATGGATTAAAAATCTCACTAGATGATTTGGTGATGGTGGTGTTCCATTCTGAGGATAGAGTGCCTGCTCCATTGACCACTATAACTCTGTAATCATACACTGTAAAGGGAGATAATTCAGACATATCATCCACAAACTGCGGCTTGGCATCAGGAAGTATCTTTGTAACCACGGTGATGTTGGAGGTCCCGTTCACGCGGCGCTCGATTTGGTAATGTGAAATCAGACCATTGGGGTTTCCAGGTGGTTCCCAGTCCACTTGTACTGAGGTGGGGGTCAGGGAGAGTAATTCTGGGGGTGCAAGATCTTCTGGAACTGTGATGACAAAATGTGCATGTCTTAATCAATAACAAGATTTTAATGTTTATTTGCTTGTTCTTTCTCTCTCTTTCTCTCATTCTAGTTACAAATCTGAAAACTTCTGATGTACTAAAGAGCTTAAATATAAACTGTTAAAAATGTGCTTCAGCAATGAGTATTGATTGCATTCTCTCCTCTCTCTATCTCTCAGTCACTCTCTTTCCCTCTCTCAAAATTGACAAATCTTTAACCACTGATATGATAACAAAAAATGATTGCCTTACCATCCTCTAAGGTTCTGACGGTTGCTGAACTTGAACTTTTTTGACATCCCCCTGAAGTACAGGCCTCTACAGTGAAGATGTATGATGAGAACGGTCTCAAAACATCCATCCTTCTCTTAGTTGTCATTCCATCAACCTAGAATGTGGAGAAACAAAAGGCACATTACTCTTGTTGGTCAAATCAGTGATTTATGTTCTATTTTCTTAAAGTTTGTAAGACTTGACAACCTAAGAGTCCATGCATATACTTCAAAATGATTCAAAAGACTGATTTCACCAGTCAAACTTTCAGCAGAAAGTTTGAAATGCACAGACATACTTTCTGATGCATTTTAAATCAAATTCACTTTTTAAAAAAAAGTACATTGTCAATCAGGTTGTTAAATTTCCAAATAAACTTCCATTACAATACTTACAACAGCCATGAGATGATCATTTTGAAAAACTCTGTACTCCATTACCACACCATTAGGGACCAGGGGTGGCTGCCACACTATATCCACATAGCGGGATCCAATAGATGTAATCAGGGGAGGATCTATATTTCTGGGTTCTATTTAAAAAAAAAAAGGAATCAGTTCAAAAGATGAAAGACGAAGAAGCTTACTATACAAATTCAATTATGTCAGGAATGAGCAATTCAGCAATTTTCTATTTTTTCCTTTAAAATAAGAATTCATTGTGTTAAAGACTTCATTGCGTTTCTCCATCATTTAAGCACCTTAACCAAACTTCTAATTAAAAGAATTGAATAAGTATTGAAAATGAAACTAACTGTCTTGGCGTGTGGTTTGTTTACTCCAGCTTGACTTAGTGTCTCCATGTGTATTCTTCGCCACAACCCTGAATTCATATGGTGTGTACGGAACCAAGTTTTGCTTTGTGTGAAGGAAAGTTGTTGTAGGCCCAAATATGCTGAAAAAATAATCAACATCTGACATTTTACTCAAAATCTCAACTTTGAGAGCATTTCAGTATTCTGAAATGCCTTCTTGTCAGGTGCAAAAAAAGTGCATTCACATCCATAACGCACCATTATACAGCCAAAAGTACCTAAGGAGACTGTAGCCCTACTGCTTTGAGCTTATGAAAATAATCTTGAAGAAAAGTAATACTTAAAATTGAAAGATGCCTTTGCTATGTTTTAATTATTTTTTTTTTGTTTGCAACATTTCTTTATTGGCAAACATACAGACATTTGTACATTGATTTACTAACCTGATGTAAAACTGCATACTGTAAAATGACACACTTTATGGGGTCAAACTTTCTTGGTTTGAGAAAAAAACATGGGTTTATGGGAATTTAATTTCAAGGATTAAGTATTGCTGAGTAGAAATATCTGTGAAAAATTACATTTCAAGGTGGACATAAAGTCATTGGTCTCTTTATATTACAAAAACACAAATTAAACCCCATAAAAGTCAGTGATTTCACAGTACCAGTACTTTGTGTTGGACTTACTCATAAATTGTGGTTCCATTGTTGATGAGATCCCTGAATTGTAGGATATACTGCGGCTGCTCATAGGAATTAGTTCTCCCCACGGGCTGCCAGGTCACCTTCATAGAAGTGGGGGTCTCCGAGACCAAATCAGGGGACAAAACTCCATCAGGTGCTACAAATCAATTCAAAATACTATAGAAGTACCTTTTTCCGCTATTAATTTATTAATTTACGCTATGTGCTACAAATCAATCCAAGCCTACTTAATGTAAACGTAAGGCATATAGTTCAAAATTTCTGGTGATATAATAACAGTAATTCAAAATTTCTGGTGAAAAATAAAACATAGATTTCTAAAGTAAAAACATTAAGTTCACTTTCAAGTTCATGAGATAAGTTTTAACAACGTATAGGTTAAATATTCATATTGCTTCTTGAAATCTGTTGACTATGAACTGAAGTCTAAGTCTTCATTTAGCTTAAAACTTACTTCCTGGGGGCATGTCCATTGTAAGCGTGTTACTAAGGAGGAAACCAGCTGTGTTTGAAGCATTGACCTGGATGACAAACTGTGACAGGGGGATGAGGGGATACACCTCAATCCACTCGGACACATTACGACCATGGAACAAGCTTCTCCTCTCACGTACCAGGGTGTAGTTGTCGGAGTCTACAGTGAATAAATCCACAAATCAGTACATGTATAATGTAAAGGTACAAAATATTTAAAAGAGAAAGAAAATCATGTTTTTAGCAATGAGAATCAGACAACTATAATTGATAATGTTCCTCAATAGTTTTTAGACTTTTACATTTTGTATTCAAGGGAAAAATTTAAAAAAGAAATAATGAGAAGTAACTCTGAAAACTGGTGGGCCTCAAATAAAATAGCAAAGTAAAAACAACTTTGATAATCTTTAACCTTCTCCAGCCCAGATATTTTACTTTCAAAAAACATATTTATTTATCCTTACAACGAATGTATCTCTATTTCCCTCCATACCTTTATCAGCATAAAACTCCCCCTCGGCATAGATGTCATAATACATGACTCCGTTGGCCTCGGCAGGTGCATTCCAGTAAACCTTGATAGTCCTAGCATCCTTGACCTCTGAGTTCATCACAATATAACCAGTGGGCGGGGCCTCCATTGTCCGCCCCTTCACCAGCTCACTAGATCCACACCCCCTGACTGTACAAGCCGACACCCTCACAGCCTGAAGACTGTAGGGGGCTAAGTTTTCTATGGTGTAGGATCGAGTCAGGCCGCTGTATACTTTGACTTCATTGTGGTAGAGATGGTAGGATATTATATGGCCTAAAATTTAAAAATGATTACCTTTTAATTACTGTTTAAAGGGTTCATTTTGTCTAGAGTTATTTCTCACCCTTTCAGTGTGGTGAAAATTACCCTGTGTACTGTATTGAGTAATATAGAAAATACATGAATAATCTATGGTGTCTGACCATTTGGTAGCCCTGGTAGATCCCACGTTATAAGGAGGGAGTGTGGGGAGGGGGAGGAAATCTCGGGGTCAGGGACTCTCTCTGGGGCACTCTCCTCTGTGGTCACGGTGCTGGGCTTGCTCAGGGTACAACCTCCTAGGGTACAGGCCTACAAATTACACATACATTTACCACAATATCTAAACTTAGTGTCTGTACAGTTCATTTCTGTGAACAACTTTTGATTCCCTAATCATTCCTCATGTTTTCTGAATAAAAAAATTTTATCAATCCAATTCTAAATTCAAAGTCCCCTTTCCCTTCTAATTTTCACACATGCTCAAATGCTTTCAAACTTTCTTCTTAAAAACCCCTTTTGAACAAATCTTGGAAACAGCAGTTGACTTACCCCAACTCGGATGAAGTATTGAGTTCCCGCTACAAGATCTGGAATGATGTAGTCCATGAAGAAGTCCGAGTTGTTGTACGCGATCTCGCCCACACTCGAGTTGTCCTCTGAGACATACAACAGGTACCTCTGTAGAACACCATTCAACTGAGTAGGCTCGGTCCATCGAGCTTCAACTCTTGTATTACCTAATGTTAACATTTTAAACAGGCTTCATTAGAATCAGTTTCATTGAAAAGAAACAAACAAGATGCTTATCCATCATTAAATTGAGCATAGCACAATATAATCATATCTCCCTATCTCTTACTGCATAAGACCGAGAAAATACTTTAAGATTTCTGAGGGTTAGAGATATTGAGGGTTAAAAAAATAATAAGTTGTTGGGACTTCCTAATCCTTTCCATATATCCATGATTATTAAGCTACTGGTGTTCAAGAAACCGAAATTTAACTGTATTATAATAAGAAATTTAATGGTTACCATCAGAAAAATCTTAGTAAATCGGAATTGGTAAATTCTTATAAATAATGTTTAAGAGCACATGTTATCTGTATGGAGCTCACCAAGCACTACTAGTGTAGGAGCCTCCATATAGGAGGGAGGGAGCTGGGCGGTACTCAGCATTGTAGTGGGTCCATCAGTACACCCCGCCCTGGTGCAGGCCCGCAGGGTCACCTGGTAACCTGTATACACCTGTAAATAAAATAAGGCTTAAATTAAAACTGTTTTACTTGAGTGACACCATCCTTATTCTAATATTAACTTAAACATGATGAATTGGGGGTATTTCATCTTTTTACAACACATATTGTGTATGATGAAACAGGCTATATTTTTTTATAGGGTAAATTATTATTATTGAAGCACAGTCAAACCTTGTTACATCAAACTCGAAAGGAACCAAGAAAAAACTTCAATATATTGAAGGATTTGAGATATCAAGGTTTAAATACTGTAGAGTACTTTTTTCCATGGGGTCATAATTCCACGGAATTTCTATTTCTGTTCAATCCGCTGGTAAAAAATTACGTGGATATCTTAAGACTCTCTATATATGCCTTATATTAATATTAAGTTCGATGGGACAAATTTCCGCGGAAAATTTGTGACCGCGTTCATAGCGTAAATTAATACCACGCGGAAAAAAGTTCTTCTACAGTACTTAAAGAATTAGTGGTTGGGACTTCCTAATCACTTTTGACATATCCACAGTATTTAAGATATCAGAGTTTGAGATACTGAAGTTCAATTGTATCTTGTATATTACATGCAAAAGAATTTTTCTCAGAATTAAAACCTGGAGGCCTGTGATGTTGTAGAAGTAACCTCCTCCACTGTAAACCTCTACTCCATCTTTATACAGGAAGTAGCCAGTCACGATGCCATTGGGCATGCCCGGAGGTTTCCATCTCACCAGCAGGTATGATGTGCCTGTTTCTGCAGTTGGAGCAGGTACTTCTCCAGGAGCTAAAAAACATTAGGGAAGTTGATATAGATTTTATAAACTTCAAGTTAACATTGATTTAAAATGAGACAATAAAAATTACTAATAAACAAAAAGAGAGAAAAAGATAATCTCTTCAAAATATCCATTTAGCATTTGAAGACTTAAATATTACTTTAGAATCTTTGTGTACATGTACATTTACATCAAAAAAAAAGTTTTTGTATAGAGATGGCAGAGTTCTTGAAATCTTTTTTTCGCTGTCAGTCATTTGGACCGACTGCCATGTGAAGTTTGTCAGTCCAGACAGATTTCTATCAGTCCAAAATAAATTCAATAAAAACATGAAAAAAAAATTGTATTTAAATTTTATTATCAATAAACACGGCGTCTATATGAACACTGCATACTTCTTACCCTAGCACCGTCAAGAAACTTGTTTTAACAGTTAACCAATAGTTTGGCGCAAGTTAGAATAATCTGTGTCTCGGAACAAGTCCTCATAACAGTTATACTCGCAATGTAGCAAATAGTTATAGAATTGCTCCGAAACGAATTTGAAGTATAGGAAAGGATATGCACTGGAAATAACTTCAAAATTAATTACAACAAACCTATTATTTAGGTCGCGTATGTCCTTAAACCTAAATTATGATCCAAATAAAGACGATAATTCAACTAATTTTCTTAACGTTTTTTTCTCGCTTCTTACACGCCATGTTTGCATTCGGAACTCTCTTGAATCTTCGTAGTAAATGTACTGAGTTCGAGTCATTGCCGGTGTTTATTTTGTGACATAGTGAATATAAGGAACAAATTCTATTATTAAACCGGGTCCGTAGGACATTTATCATTTTAACGATAGAACATTGTCTCTAAATTTGCACTTGTATTAATCAAGAAGCCATTACAACATGCAGAAAAAGAGTTTGAAAGATAACGATCGATCGATAATAGGGAATTTGTACGAAATTTAGTCTCCCTGTCAACACCGTCCGGTCATTTGGACTGACACAGAACGGAAAGTAATCGGTCCTTGGTTGTTTCAATCGGTTTTGCCGACAGGACCGAAAGATTTCAAGAACTCTGAGATGGGTTTATCCTATTTCAAGACACCTTTCCTAAGTACAACTGAAACACTAGTATACTGACCTTCTTCAGATGTAGTGACTTTGACCCCCTCTGAGCTCTTTGTGCACCCCCCCCCCCCCCTTCAAGATACTGACCTTCATCAGATGTAGTGACTTTGACCCTCTCTAAACTCTCTGTGCACACCCCCCCCCCCCCATCAAGATACTGACCTTCTTCTGATGTCGTGACCTTGACACCCTCCGAGCTCTCGGTACACCCCCCTCCTGTACATATGGCAATCTTGACCGTGTAGTTGGTGTAAGGTATGGCTGTTGTAATTTTACCTGTGGAGTGAGAAAACAGGTGCTAGGAAAAGAGTCTGGTTAAACCAGTCATCCACATGTATCTGGCCAACTTGGACAAATAGAGATGGATAGACAGACAAACAGACAGAGGGAGGAGGAGAGTTTTGAAAGAATGCAAAAGATTATATTTTTAATGACATTGGCAACATTGTTTATAAAAAAAAAATTATTGCAAGGAATGAAATATATTTGTAGATCAAGTTTTATTCAAACTAAACATTCAATAACTGCAGGAGTAGAGTCTTGAAAAATTGTTTACAGACAAGCAGACAGTTAGAAGTACACACAAAAATCACTTTCTGGTCAATAATAAGCTGCTATATGAGGAGAAAATATGCATTACAATGTTCTATCTCAGCATTTGAAAATTTCCAAGTTAATGATACATACCACTGTAGACACCAGTATCAGTGAAGACTGCCTCCACCGGGGGTTCCTGTGGTTTGTCTATGTTGTGAGCCCTCAGTATGTACTGGGAGAGTAGACCTGCTGATGACTGGGGGGAATACCAGGAGGCTGAAATCTCAAACCCACTCAGAACCCTCACGTTATAAGGGGGCCTCACTCCAATAGGGGCTGTAAAGAAATGTGTAAGGTATCAATGACAGGACATAAAATTCAGTGGAAACCATAAGAAATCTATGTAGAGCAGAATAAATAAATCATAATCACATCATCCCAACCTTACACCCCAAAATGCTAACACAGTAATCTTTGTTTACTATAGTAGCTTTGGATTTTCAGTATATAAAACATATTTCAGTTCAAAAAATTCATCTAAGCCAAATTCAAAAAGTTTTTTTTTTAAATAGAGATAGGGTCTCTGATGTTTGATTCAGGACTAACTATTCGTATTACGGGAAATCAAAATAACTTTTGAAAAGTTAAATTTTTACCTCCTTCTTTTGTTTTGCCATAGACCCATGGACTGGCTCCTGTCCCAGCATCGTTACTTGCTAGTACTCGATACAGATAGTCTGAAACCCAGAAGATACATACATGTGTAAGGTGTTTAATGTTTTAGCCATATTTAACACTAGTTACTCGCTTCCTAATCCAATTACTGAACAGAAAAATTTAGGATTATCTTGTTAAAATCCTTTTTTCTGAAACAGACAAATATAATTCAGTATGTCTTTTTACTGCTGTGCATGCATGACCTTGACCTGAAATTTGTCATTGACCACATATGTATTGATCAAGTTATTTCTGTGAACCAACTATTACTTGCGTCATCTTTTATTCAATATTTGTCCATTTGAAACTAGAACTGTCCAACAGGGACAAATACCCCCCGCTGGCTTTTTCAGAGAAGAAGCAAATTCACAAATACTTTGTGGATCTAGAGGTGTTCACAATTTACTTGCAAAAATTTGTAGTGAAATATAATTGTTGCTCATTATGTTTCTTAATGAATGAAACAAAGGTGCAACCAAATGAAACATCAATACTAATACATTGTAATTCCATTGTAACATATTTTTTTATTTCTGCATTAGAAAAATATATTGCAATTATGTGTCATGACACTCTGCAAACTGATTGTTGAAAAAAAAATCATATTATACAAAATCAAATTAATCTTGATAACTTTATATCAAATTCATTTTGAAAATAAAGAGCTGGTCATCCAGTAATGAAGTGCTTTGACAGACAATAAATTACAATTAAGAGAATAAGAGAAGAGAGATCTTTTATTCTTGTGCCAAATTCCCAGGAGATTATAGATAAAACATGGTTGATAAGAGATGCCTTAACAACTTCCCACACCAAACTCATTAATTTTATATCTTTAACTGGATGCATGTCCAGTCATTATTCCCAAGAGACAAATGAATTTACATTACCTTCTGTGTAATGTAAAAACTTTTTTAACACTTGATGATGTTTCTTTTTTTTCAGTTTTAATGAGTAGTCTTAAGCTGTACTAGTTCACATTTTTATACAGATATTCTAGATTCTATGTCTCAAACCTTATACATGAGCCCAAAATGAACAAGTCAATTAAAATAAAAAATGAAACCTGTAAAATGCAGAAAAATGAACAAATAAAGTTGAAAATTCCAGCTGCACACCTTCATATGGTGAATAATAAGAGTACAAATTTTCAGATAAATCCTTGCAATAGTTTCTGAGAAACGGTCTGCACAAAACCACAACATAAAAATGAAAAAAACACCTGTAAAAATTCAAAATAAGCATTCAATCAAGATTATAATATCAGGTACACACCTTCATATGGTGAATAATATGTGTACAAATTTTCAGACAAATCTTTCCAATACTTTCTGAGTAATGGTCCGGACAAAATTTTGTCTACAGACAGACGGACATGGTATTTCCAATATACACCCCCCCCTAAACTTTGTTTGCGGGGGGGGGGGGGGGGGGGTATAATTAATCCATGATAATTAATTTTCAAGACTAAGGATTCTCTATAAATTATTGGTCCACAGCAATTAATATTCACGAGTTAAAGTCGGTTGCAGAACTCGCTAATATTTCTTGCACATGAATAAAAGTTGGATTTCAGTTGTTCATTCCTCATTAAGGGGCATAACTCTGATTTGTTAACAACTCACCAGAGTAAGGCTGAAGTTCAGTATCTATGAATTCTCTCTCCGTTCCATTGTAAACATTTCCTACAATATCATGTTTACATGTGTCTTCTGGCAGGTTGAAGGGTGTACACCCATCCAAGTTGACATTTTCTAAATTCTTCAATTCTTCTTGCACGTTCAGTTCAAAATTGTAGTAAACTGGTGAAAACCAAGTCAACACAATGTTGTATATGCAGCCTCCAAACCCTATAAAAAAGAATTTTGTTCATGTCAAATTACCAGTAAGTATTATGTAAATTCATATCAATATTTTTCTTGTTTTTCACTTCCTACCAGTGAGAGTCAAGCTTCTCAGTAGACTTCATTGCTTTTTGTTTTTATTTATTCCAAATTCAAAAAAACTAAAATAAAGTGCCCCGCCACAGCATGATACGCCCATCAAATATTGTTCAATAATCATACATTGGTTAGGATGCAAGAAAATCAGGTAGCCTTGATTAACAGATTGACACAGATTTCAATTATCTAATTTCCATTTCTTATTATACATCTCTAAGAGACTTACAGTGTAGGGATTGATTATAACAAATAAATAAATACTAGTGAGACATGACTGCAATTTGTCGCAAATATATAAAAATTTAAATATATATTTTTTTTTTTCAATGAACACATGTATAATTAGTTTTAATCATATTATACAATACTAATTTAGTTTTAATCATACAAACATCATTTGAAAGATCTTTATCTGGACTAGCCATCAAGAACTCTTAATTAACACAAGCATCTTTTTGCCCAACTCCCAAGAGATAAATTAATTAAGACAACAGCTGCATCAGATCTAGAGATGCTCTTAGCTCCTGACAATAAACTCATTAATTTCTCTCTAATTTGACATGCAAATTTCTGCTATCAAAATTCTTCTTGACCAGTGCTTGATAATTATGCCCATGGGACAAACTGAATTCCTCTCAAAGCATAAACATTTGTTACAGATTGCTGTAAAGTATATAATGAAAAAATAAGTTATTACTTAATTTAACATTTTTTAATAAGGATACAACTATATTTTTACATTTTTTATGATTATGAAATTTAGAATTTAAAAGACATAGTTTTTTTTTAAAAATTCACTTTAATTAAAGGTCGCAGTGACCTTGAAATAGGCCGTGACACACCTTCTACTTTAGATGTATACTTTTGCCAAGTTTGAAAGCTCTAGGTCTAATAGTTTTCTAGTTATGAGCCAGACAGGATTTTTCCATATTTTGCTATAGCATCTTTGTTGCAAATATATAAAAATTGAAATATAATTTTTTTTTTCAATGAACACATATATAATTAGTTTTAATCATATTATACAATACTAATTTAGTTTTAATCATACTCTAAAACATCAATTTGTTTTAATTACATTACATCAATTGAAAGATCTTTATCTGGACTAGCCATCAAGAACTCTTAATTAGCACAAGCAACTATGAGGCCATTTCTTTTTGCCCAACTCCCAAGAGATAAATTAAGATAACATCTGCATCAAATCTAGAGATGCTCTTAGCTCCTGACAATAAACTCATTAATTTCTCTCTAATTTGACATGCAAATTTCTGCTATCAAAATTCTTCTTGACCAGTGCTTGATAATTAAGCCCATGGGACAAACTGAATTCCTCTCAAAGCATAAACATTTGTTACAGATTGCTGTAAAGTATATAATGAAAAAATAAGTTTTTACTTAATTTAACGTTTTTTAATAAGCATACAACTATATTTTTACATTTTTTAGGATTATGAAATTTAGAATTTAAAAGACTTAGTTTTCTAAAAAAATTCACTTTAATTAAAGGTCACAGTGACCTTGAAATAGGCCGCGACACACCTTCTACTTTAGATGTATACGTTTGCCAAGTTTGAAAGCTCTAGGTCTAATAGTTTTCTAGTTATGAGCCGGACAGGATTTTTCCATATTTGGCTATAGCATCTTTATTAAAGGTCAGAGCGACCTACTTTTTGTGCGCGACACACCGTCTACCCAAGAAGTATAAGTTGACAAAGTTTCATAATCCTAGGCCTAATAGTATTCAAGTTATGAGCCAGACAGGAATGGACAGACGTTCGGACAGACGGACATGAAGTCTATAACATAATACTTCCCATCTTAAGACGGGCGTATAAAAAGAATGTTGTCACTTTTTTGGATTAATTTGCAGAAAAAATGTAAAATGTGTTTTCAAGACCAAAAAAAAATGACTCCCTTTTGATTAAATATAACATGAAATGCTGGCATTGATGGAATACTAAAGACAATTTATTATAAGCTTGGCAAACTTGTATCATTAATTTTTTTTTCGAAATATTGAGAAAAGCCCCCAGTAAGTTTATTTCAAACAATTAAGGTGCAAACCTTCCAAAGGAATATTAAGCTTGTTCCTTTCTATGAAATGCCGGGCATCAGATGCCTCTGGTACACCCCCAATGTACACATCCCCAGCGACAGCCACCCTGAGGGGATGGGAGGAATTTCCTCTCGTCTCGTTCCCATATCCGTGGACAGCGATCGAAGCTTGTTGACCTATTTTTTTAATTTCCACTTGATACCAGTTTCCATCACAAAACTTGACTTCAGGTCGTTGGAAGGTTACGCCGCCGGTCGCAATGCCATTGGAAAACTCGAAATAGAGGCTGTTTTCAATAAGGGCTACAAAGTAGTACATCCCCTCCCCTTCATGGGTGAAGAACAGTATCCCACTAGCCAAGTCTGTACGAAAGTGGAATGCCAGGTTGAATTTATTGTTAATCCTCCATTTCTCACTTGGCATGGACACATAACCTTGTAAAAGCGAATATTAGATTAAATATTTTACCTAGGATCATGCATTTAACATACATGTTTGAAGTAATATGCTTCGCAGTTTATAAAGCAACAACTGCCCCAACTTATGTTATATCATATAACATAAGTTGAAATAAGTTGCATTCATTAATTAATATGAAATTGTAATGATGACAAATTAAAACCAAAACAACTTTGTCTAAGCTTTTTAGGTATCTGATATTTTTTCAGTTGATAACTATATACGAGCGATGAATTATTTCCCTACCTTGACCCATAAAATGGTAACCTTTATCCAAGTTAACAGGGCAGCCTTCCCAGTTCAGAAAGGTCTGTTCATTGGCCTTGGCCTGCCCCCAATCTAGTGTTTTCCACACCTCTTTTGGATACATCTGCTGTAAGATCTGGATGTCCTTAATACAACCTTGGAAAGACTCTCGTGTGATCTTGAGGCGGCTGTCTGTCTCCGTCCGTCGGATGACAAAATCCGTGGGCAGTCCCCCTATGTAGACCCCAGTACTGGGACCGATGACCGTTCCCATGGTACAACTACTCTTTTTGGTGCCTGTAATGACCAAAATGTATTAAGATTTGTAATTCTTCTCAAAGAACATATATAGTATATTTATCAATATTTGATTTTTAAAATCGAATAGTTTTCGTAAAAGTGTAAAACTACCCTTTCTAAGCTTTCTTTATAAGGATATCATTGATTTCTAAAAATATCTAATGACTTATAAGAGAATTAACAGTTATCCTATTTTTAATTTTGAAATGATTGATAATTTCTTATTTTTATTTAAACTTTGATATTCTGATTAATTTGAATTGTTACCTATAATCCAGGTACAAGTGCACTAATATATCATAGAAGATGCAACTATACTAAATGTCATGCAGTTATTAGTGTCATGCTGGTACTTACTGTCAAGCAGGTACAAATGCTTTACATGCAAGTGATTTATCACTTCTATGTTTTAAGTGACCCACAATTCAGCAAATCAATATCTGATAAAATTGGCCCTAATCCTTTAAGAATGACTTGAACTTTCTTGAATCTACTCAATATAAGTTGGGTAGAGCACATGTTATTTTATTTCATCTTTCAAGTTCTTTGTGACATTTTTGTACATCCTTTATTATTCAATATTGCCTAACAATATTCATCCTGAAATTTTCCTATGTACATGTAACATTCTTGTTTTTGCATACTTGCCACTTTTCTATGCAGAATTGAAAGAAAAACAAGAGGCCCAAGGGCCACATCGCTCACCTGAGCACATCGACTAGGAAAAAGCACATATCAGATCAAAACTGAAAGTTTACTGGGGGAGGGGGTGGGGGGGGGGGGGGCTTGAATTTTAACCCCCCTGGGTGTCATGATTTGAACAAAGTAGAATCTACACTACCTGAGGATGATTCCATATAAATAGAAAAATATCACTAATCATGGCTTAGAAGTACTTGAAAAGAAGATTTTAAAATGTTTCCCTATATATCCCTATGTAAAATTTTGGTCGGCCATTTTGGCCCCACCCTAGCCCCAGGGGTCATGATTTGAACAAACTTGAATCTACACTACCTGAGGATAATTTCATTTAAGTTTCATCTTTCCTGTCTCAATGGTTCTTAAGGAGAAGATTTTAAAAGATTTTTCCTATAAATTTCTATGTAAAACTTTGGTCGGCCATTTTGGCCCCACCCTAGCCCCGGGGGTCATGATTTGAACAAACTTGAATCTACACTACCTGAGGATAATTTCATTTAAGTTTCATCTTTCCTTTCTCAATGGTTCTTGAGATGAAGATTTTTAAAGATTTTTCCTATATATTCCTATGTAAAACTTTGGTCGGCCATTTTGGCCCCACCCTAGCCCCGGGGGTCATGATTTGAACAAACTTGAATCTACACTACCTGAGGATAATTTCATTTAAGTTTCATCTTTCCTTTCTCAATGGTTCTTGAGAAGAAGATTTTTTAAAGATTCCTATGTAAAACTTTGGTCGGCCATTTTGGCCCCACCCTAGCCCCGGGGGTCATGATTTGAAAAAATTTGAATCTACACTACCTGAGGATGATTCCACATGAGTTTCATCTTTCCTTTCTCAATGGTTCTTGAGAAGAAGATTTTTTAAAAAATGTTATTAATTTTTCACTAATTCATAATTATCTCCCCTTGGAAGAGGGCGTGGCCCTTCATTTGAACAAAATTGAATCCGCTTTACCCAAGGATACTTTGTGCCAAGTTTGGTTGAAATTGGCCAAGTGGTTCTTGAGAAGAAGATGAAAATGTGATAAGTTTACGACGACAACGACAACAACTACAACGACGACAGACGACGGACAGATTTGATCAGAAAAGCTCTCTTGAGCCTTCGGCTCAGGTGAGCTAATAAAATAATTGAAATCCCTTGAAATTTCCTTTTAGATTTTTTTGTTGTTGATTTAAATTGTTTGATTACATTATAGGAAATCTAGTGTATTGACAGAGCTAGTCTAGAGGCCTGAAGGCCATACATGGCCCTTCTGTTCTTCATCAGCTGATTTCCTATATATAGCTATGTAAAACTTGGACCATCCACTTTGGGCCCCATTTTCTGATCTTTAATTTTCTTAATCATATATATTTTCTGTCCTATATTGGGCAAAATTTTAAAGCAGGTAAACGACATCATTGACAATGTGTGATGGAAAGGAGGAAAAAAGCTAGGATCGTTTTAACAGGGTAATACAAAGGGAATGAAGCTTTTACTCACCTTTATAAAAAATTGATTCCGTAATAAATTTGATTTTGCAGATGCTCAATTGCTCAATTCAATCTTTCATAAAAGACACAGAGAAGGGTGGAGGGGGTTATGTGTAGCCAAATACATATTGATTTCAAGTGGAATCATATTCAATAAAATTCTAACCCTTGTACAAGTTTTTGAAAAATGTAAAGTGGGTTCACAATGAGTACACTACACTTTTACAAAAAATAAATTAAAAAAAACAAATGAAAGGAAAGAAATAAGGAGTGTCAAACCTCTCCAAACTGAATCAACAGAAATAAATGCTGTTCGCTCATCACGTGTGGCAATCAACTCGTGCCAGCGGCGGTCATTGTATAGAAGTCCTTCGTCATTGGTCGTCATCACAAATGAGGGACACCCTGCCACAAACAGTGCAGCCAATCAAAAACACAGTGACATTGTTATCTAGTTCACCACACAGGACAAACAAGAGGCCCAAGGGCCTTGAATCCCTCTTCTGATAAATTGTACAATCTATCACTTCTATTTGAAGCCTCTAACCTTAAGTATCCTAAGACCCAAGTTGCATCAACTGACAAAGTTTGATGATTCTTAGCCAATAATGACTGAAAATATTTTTAATAATAAGGCTATAAAAAAACCATAAGTACATCACAGTGACCTATATTAAGATTGAAGTTTTCTGAGGACTCAAGATGCACTAATAAACAAAGATTGAAGATTCTAAGCCAATAAGTATTTGAGATATTTAAAAGTAGGTCACTGTGACCTACTTTTTTGTCTACATTCTTTGAAAACCCAAGATACATCAACTGACAAAGTTTGATGATTCTAAGCCAGAAAGTACCTGAGATATTCAAAAGTAGGTCACCATGACCTATTTTTTTGATCGACATTCTCTAAAAACCAAAGATGCATCAACAATCAAAGTTTAGTGATTCTAAACCAGTTAGTACCATAGATACTTAAATAAAGCCATAAAATGTCGAAAGTAGGTCACAGTGACCTACTTTTTTGACATCATTCCGAAAACCCAAGATGCATTAACTTACAAAATTTGATGACTAACAATAAGGTTTAATAAAGCCATAAAATTTTTAATGTAGGTCACCATGACCTACTTTTTGGTCATCACTCTCCAAAAACCCAAGACTCATCAACTCACAAAGTTTGATGATTCTAAGCCAATAAATACCTAAGATACTAAAATATAGCCATAAAATGTTGAAACTAGGTCATCGTGACCTATATTTTGGTTGACATTTTTCAAAGTCACAAGATGCATCTGCTGATGAAGTTTGATGATCCTAGGTCTGGAGGTAATCAAAATCTGCCTTTTAAACAATTCGAAAACAAATGCCTGCAAAATTAAAAAAGTAGGTCACAGTGACCTACTTTTTCATAAATATGTTTTAAGGTCCCAAGATGCATCAATTAACAAGATTTAATGATTCTAAACCTCTCAGTGTCTGAAATAATTGGATTAAATGTTTTAAGAAGAATTAGTCATAAAGTTCAAAAAGTAGGTCACGGTGATTTTTTCCACGTTGAAGGTGTCAACTGACAAAGTTTGATGATATAGGCCTTAAAGTGCCCGATATATGCCTTCAAATTTTGAAAACAAATGCCCACAAAATTTAAAAAGAATATTGACCTCTTTTATATGATTTATAATGCATCAACTTACAAGATTTGATTTTTATAGTAAGTAAAATATAAACGTTTTTATTATTTGTAAATTTAGGTCAACTTTGAAGTGACCTTGAAGTGACCTTGAGACCACGCCCTTTGCCCGAGGGTCATGCCTTGAACAATCTTCAACATATCCTGATCCTTGTTTGTAAGTTTGGTAAAAATCTGCCTGGTGGTTCTGAAGAAGAAGATTTTTTAACAACCAGTACTTTTGGTTTTGTTTTCCTGATTATCTCCCCTTGTTTAAGGGGTCGTTATTTTCACAAGGTAGCCCTTGGGCCAAGGATACCCTGTGACAAAACAGTGCAGTTATCATATTCTAAAAAAACACACCGCACACCGCACAAATGGCCATAGCATTAGCTCTTTGAGCCTTTGGCTCAGAAGAGCTAAAAATTGGAGACTGGGAAAAACTGTTGTGTTTCTTATTTATACAAAAGAAATGTGACCAATACCGTCATTTTGAAAAATAGGAGCAAAATATTTGTTGCTAGAACATGATATAGATAGGACCAAAATATTATTCGTACCCTCGGTTTTTGTGTATTTAGTTTCTCTTTTATAAAAACACTAAAAAGCTAATACAATTAATTCAAAAAGTTATCCAGTACACTACACACATCCCCAGTTTCCAATACATAAAAAGTTATCTTCGCCAAACTCCAAGTCGCATGCGCTTTGATATATATATATTGACATTCTGCTAATATCCAGTATTTTGTTTCATGCTAAGAACAGATGGAGGAGATTTATTTGATAAAAACTTTTTTCAAAGTAGTTTTTAATCCCCTATACCAATCTAAACACTTTACATATACTGTAAATCATTACGATCTTTATTTTGTTTTATTATGTTGGAAACTATATGACTATCTTGTGACAATCTTGCATCACAAAAATTTGGTGATCCATAATACTGTAGATCACATAATTTTCGCAACACCTTATTTTCGCGAGATAGTCATTGACTCTTTATTAGCGAGACAAAATTTTCACGAATTATGGTCATTGCTCTATATAATCTTAAGGAATACTATTAAACGCGAGAATGAAATTTTCTCGAGCATATTGTCTGGGGTAATTATGTGAAAATAAAGTTCTCGCGAATAAATAGTGATTTACAGTAATTCAATTTAAATTTTCACTGTGACCTCCATCTGTTCTTGCTAACTAAATCCACACCACCCAGCAAGGCTTCAAACGCATGCTGCCCAAACTTGTGCGTCACACTTCAACCTTGACCTGACCTTTGTATTGGTCGATCTCGATTCTCGACAGCTCATTATCTCGTATTGCAACCAGACTATGCCATGTGTCATCATTATATGTACGGTCATTATCGGTATAAGGGCTAATCTCCACATAGCTTGGACAATCTGTCTCAATAGGAAGATTTCAGTCAAAGATTGGAATTTTTTAAATTAAGACATTAATTAATACTCCCACCTTAAAACATTCTGTTTTTTCAGCAACATAAGTCTAAAACACACACAATCGTACTGAAAGCTAGCAAAGCCATTAAAGTTCTGAAGCTTAAGAAAAATTTTATCAACCCGACACTCTTCCTTTCACTTTTAAACTATGCCCCCTGAGCAATTTTCATTCCCTTTTCCTAATGAGTCCTTGTGCTTAGTTTGGTTAATACATTGTTATAACATGGTTTGGAATACAGGAATAAACTCTGAGATATATTCTAAACTTATATAAAAACTTCAATTTTCAAATGAAATGAAGACATAAAATTAACCTAATCCTTATAACTAAAATACATTTTATATAATAATTCAAGTAAATATTTGCAGTTAACTGAAATTTGATAACCATAACAACCATATGGATACTTAAAGTATGGAGAATTGTTGTCCCGATGCTTTTGAGATTTTCTTCAGTTTGTTAAATCAGTACAGTGTATATACTGTAAACCAACTTTTATTCGTGTGCGAGAAATTTTCTTGAAGTTAGCGAGAGTCTCGTCATCGCGGATATTTCTCAACGTGTACCGGTCATTATATTCTATGTGTCTATTAACAAGAGAACCAAAATAGGCGTGATCGCAAAAATTAATCGTCGCGAACTAGTTTACCCATGGTAAATCGCGAAATAAAGTCGTCGTGAATAAAAGTTGGTTTACGGTAAGTAAACTATGCTTCGGTATACTTCAGAAGAAGTGATCTTGCTAGGAAGTTGTGTTGTGTATCTAAGACTTTACAAAGACCTTCATTCTATAAATATCAAAATAATTGTTGTTGTTTCTGAAGTTCTTTTAACCACAAAAGTTCAACATATAATGCTTTTAAGGGGGGACCTACGAGGGTTGTCCAAAAAGTTCGTGGACAATGACGTTTTTGTTAAAATAAATGGTTCTATATGCATCTATTGTACATCAAAATATTTCTCATGAAAAAACAAGTCAGAATGATTTAATTTTTATTGATGAAACTTAATATTTTTGTAAAAATCGGAGTCTTTAAAGATCGCAGATTGCACGCACAGACCAGTCTGACGTTACGCTCATTTCATTATATAACGTCAAACATTTGGATTTTGACTTATCACATGTTCATGGACACACACCACATTTCTTTTTTAAGGCGCAACGCACTTCGAAGTGCTAGCAATAATCTTTAAGTATAGATTATAATTTATTTAATTTTTAAAATTCAAAACAATGCACACAAATTTACGAGCGTCATCTAAATTAACAGTTTGTATATCCAAACTAAACAGCCAAGTCCGACGCTGCGCTAGATTTATAACAACGTCATGAATAGAAATCTCCATTTACAGTTAATTTAACATGTGTTTTTAAATTCTTGTAGTGTCTTCGAATTTGTACACACTGTTGAAAAATCGTATAAAATTATAAGAATCCCAAATCGATACATTCAATATATTTCAATAATTTTGAGTTGTTTTAACAAATATTTTGTCTCTTACATCGTTTTAACCGTTATAAAACTTAATTTTTTGACTGGACGCTGCCCCGTGCTGACAGGCGACGTCACTTTTTCTGTTGAGTTTTGACACGTACTTGCTAAGGTTTTCTTTGTGTTTTTTCGTTGTTTATATAGTAAGCGATATTTAAGATATCATAAAATGATAATAACCTCTTTATTTGTGTTACATGAAATTTTTATTAATTTTTGACTTGTTTTATATAGAAAATAATCATTTTAATCCGAACTCTTTATATCATAGTTTACATCATTTTAACCTTGGTCCGTGCGCACTATCCGCGACCTCTTACGACCCCGATTTTTACAAAAATTTTACGTTCCATCAATAAAAACTAAATCATTCTGACTTGTTTTTTCATAAGAAATATTTTGATATACAACAGATTTATATAGAACCATTTATTTTCACAAAAACGTCATTGTCCACGAACTTTTTGGACAACCCTCGTATGTGGTTCTACGTCAAAGCAGCGTTATGTGACCTCACCATAGCTACGTTTGTTTTTTACCTGTTGACTTTTGCAACTGTGATATAGGCATAACATTGTTAAAATCAATATCGTACACAATTTACAAAAAAGAAAATTTATTCATCAATAATAACAGTTTTATTTGATTTATGGAGTTAGTTAATATTAGAAACTCCTTCGGTTGATAATTCATATCAATTTCAGTTAAGAAGAAATACCTCGATGATATGCTGATATATAAGTGCAAAAAGATTTATAAGATAAAATTTAGCAAAGAAAGCGACTTAAATCGGGGTTTAATTTTACGTTTACCATTAATTGTATTTTCTGGATAAACTATGAAAAAAAAATTAAGAAATGCACTTGTACCTATATCTGCTTATTGATTTATAGTACATGTAGATTTTATTGTATAAAGTCATTCCTAGGTTCTAATAGGTGTTAGTTGTTGATGGGGAAATGGGGGGAGGGGGGCAGAATGATTACATAAAGAATGAGGAAGAAAAGAATTAATCTGTTTAAATTGTTTTTAATCAAAGCAAAATACTTGTTTTCGCAAAATAGTTTTATATTCAGATGTTTGTCAATGCTTACTTACCCTTTTTTTTAGTGCAGAAAGGTCAATATTTATGACACAAGAGTACGAAAATAAAAGAAAACATCATATTTCTCATTTATTTTATCATAAAGGTATACTTTTTTCTTTGTTAAAATAAAGAGATGAATCATTTCTTTAAAAAAATATGAATTACAACATTTTCACACAAAGACTTTTTAAGATATTGCCTGTTATGCATGTCGGAATTGTAAAAAATACGACAAGAAAAACGGGGTGATACTTACATTGTGCTCCTTTATAATTTTTCTTGCGAGATGAATTACAATGAATTTGCCTTCATTTTAAAGACACAAGTCATATACATTAGATACCTGTTTATTTCGAATGTGATTTGACATTTTTGGTTCTTTTTAGCGTATATTTGGAGTAGAAAAATAATGTCTTAAAATAATCTTTTTTTAGCATTTCACACTGTAAAAATAAGCATATAAAGGTATTGTTTTTATTACCTAAAAATTATGAGCAAAGAGGTCAGGAAAGAAATGTCAAAGTTTTGAAAATTTCACACAAAGACTTTTCGGGCATAGGTCCCCCTTAATTTGTATAACTTGCCTTGTGGATCGAACACAAACCAGGGCCTTCCTGACTTGAACTGAATAGCCAGGAACTCGTCCTGTCTCCCAGCAGAGGCAGCAAATATCAGGAGACCATTCCTCATGTTCTTGTCCATTTTGAATTTAAATCTGATCCCTGTATAAAATTATAATCCTTTAAGATTTTGTATAATGGCAATGTAATTAATTTTATATGTACACAGAGATTAAAAATAAGAAAAAGAAAAGAAAAAATATCTACTCTCTTAAAGACAATTGCACTTTAGTACACAATAGGAAAGTTTTACTTGACTACACCATCAGCAACTTTTTTTGTTAAACTGTAGACTTATAAGAACTAACCTGTGAATGCTACATTAGGTGGAATAATTTCAGGAGGAAAGAGGTAGTATCCCCCTCCAGGAAATCTGGTTCCCTGCACTACCAAGGGAGGGAAGCTCAGGGAGGGTACAGTTTTCTCCACCGAGTACAGAGGGGCAGGGCCATTAGGGTCCGCAGGCTCAGGCCAAGACAAGCGGATCATGCTGGAATTCACACTGTAGAACTTGGGTTTAAAGAGCCCAGCTGGTACTATAAAAAGAATAAAAATTTCAATACACAAAATGTATCAACAGGATCTATTTCAATGTCTACATTTAGTCATAAATCAGTAAGTATCACAAAAAACATAAAAAAATTATTATAGTGATAATCACACACAATGTTAAATAGTTTGTATATAACACACTTTCATTCAAAGAAAAATAAGATTCCAGTTGACTGTCATGATCTAGATCTAAATTCTCAATCTTGTCCTAAAGGCAAACAACAACAAATTGCCAACCCCCCTTTTTTGATCTGAGGGACAGATAATTTCAAAATCTTTTACAAAGTGCACATACCATCTTCCTGAGTAGTTCCAGTGACCTCTGATGAGTTGACACACCCCTCAGAGTTGCATGCACCTAGTTTAAAGGTGTAGTTCTGGTACGCATCCAGTCCCCCTATCATATGGGACCTTGAGGCACCACCTGAGACACTGACGAGCTAAAAAACAAAAAATCGAAAATGAAGAAGTAAATTTCAAAATAACAGCCATTTAGTGGCATTATAAGCATTCAATAATTTAAACTTTGCCTAGGTTTCTTCCAATGAACAACTGCTGTGAGTCTCTATGAGAACACTCTTTGAAATCAACCAAGCATTTCAATGTTACCACAAATTTTCCTACCTTCCACAAGTATTGTGGAGCAAATGGGTCAGCAGCGAGGTCATTCCTGCTGAAGAAGTACACCCTGTAGGTCATAATGACCCCACGGGCCTGATCCTCTGAGGGAGACTCCCACCGTAGCTCCAGCTGTGAGTGGCTGACCGAGTACACTGTGGGGGCGGGGGTAAATATAGGCGTGGCTTCCCCCGTTCTCTGGGACACCCAGGGGCTGGCTGTCTTTCCTATGTCATTCTCTGCAAGAACCTGTTGAAGAGATTTCTCAACTGCATACAAGTCTAAAAGTGTTTGCAGAGCAGGACTTTCCATTCAAATGGAAAGATTTTTTTTAAACATGAAAACTTCTCTGTTTAGAAAAAAATCTGTTTTCAGTATAATCTTACCAAGTTGACCATTAATTAATGGAAACTGAATTATAAGCTTAAGATTATTTTATGCTGCTGCCATACCTGAAACTCATACACTGCATAAGGTTCCAGACCCTGGACTAAGAAGTTTGTATCAGGAGGGGGTAGTGCTATTTCCTGTGGGGACCGAGTTGGGCGGGGATTATACTGTCCACTAGGGTGGAATATCCTCTTCTCCTGTGGGTCCCTGGTTCCATCAACTTTTAATGATCCTCTCATCCACAGCTCATAAAATATTATAATTCCTATACAGTAATAACTTGAGAATAAATTTACATGTACCTGTATTTTGAGTTGTGAGAAACAAATTTTTTTTTTTTATAAAATCTGAATAGCATATATAATTCTGATTTATTGAGTTTACTTGTTCAGAATTTCCTAATTTGGTTCTTAAATCATCATGCACTTTTAAAACATAAATATAATGTCATATAAAAATTACTACACGTGCCATTTGCTTGCGCAGGTGGTTTCCATGTGACATTTAGTTTGGATGAAGAAACCATCGTAACAACAGGTGCTTCCATTCCCGTGGGAAGGGCTGACTTAGTGCTAAATACCACAGGCCAACTGTCCAAACACCCTCCTTCACTGCAGCTCACAACAAACACAGTGTAGTTAGTAAAAGGTACCAGTCCTGTGATTGTGGTCTTATTATCTAGCCCGGTCCAGTGTAGCTCTCGCAAAGTGGGCTGGCTTGGTTTCAAAGTGACCACACTGAAGTTGGCGAGAGGTCCGTTCAATTTTGCAGGAAAGATCCAAGCTAATTGAGCCGTTCTTGCTTGAATTTCCTTGACAGTCACATAGACAATGCCTGTAGGGGGACCTGGTAGGGTTCGGAAGGTCACTGGAGAACTGTGGACGGATCCAAAATCATTGGTGGCCTCCACAATGTAGGTGTATCTCGTGTAGGGTGACAATCCTGAATCTTCATAAATGATATCTAAAATTAATAAAAAGAGAATTCTTATTAGGTGTTTGCAAAAAACAAGCAATCCAGAGCTTGGCTCCTAGTATACATTTGTAAATTTGATCATGCTTATAGAAATTAAAGTGAGCCAGCTCCTATCAGTTTCTTGAATGTTAACCATTAAAGCAAAGGATAGGTATGGCACGCCAAATTCACAAAAATGAGATAAACCTAGTTTCACAATTGATAAACTAGGTTTATCGACTGTAAACTATAGTTTACAAATCGTAAACTATAGTTAACAATTCGTTAAGGTAGATCGCGGGTTTACTGTTTGCCTGAAAACATAGGCTTAAAATTTGTCAGGTAACACCTCTCGTTTTAAATTTTTCCTTCTGAAATTTTTTTGAGATTCGTCTGAGTGGTTAAATTGAAATCCTAATTCAAATGCGCTAATGTTGATGAGAACAGTTGACGCTTTTTCAATGAAATATATAGTAAAATGCCCCTTTTCTGTCGGTATACGCATTTCAAAACCATGGTCATAACATAAAAACGAAGCAGACGAATTTCATATTACACGATACAATGAATGTGAAGTAAATTTAGAATCGATCTATTAAAAAAAATTAACATGTGTTCTCGCTCAATTTCTTGCAAAAAAACTTTAAAGTTTTACAATTTTCGATCAGAAGTATGATATTTCCTTCACGACGTTATATAACGTTGGTGCGACGTCATTATTTTCGTATGTCTGCATGACTAAAAAATTGAATTAATCAATAATTCACTCAAAATAAAAAGGCAATCCGTGAATTCAATTTTTTCGGTATAATCGTTACCATTGTTTACCAACAGTGTGGCACAATTTCAATGTCATATGTTTTCTTTTTCTCTCATATAACTCAAGGTCAGGAGTACGGAAAAATAATAAATGTAAATAGATGAAAGGGAAAAAACATCTTACCGGATATAAGATTTTCAAACATATATGTTTGTGTATTATTTTCATTTATTGATAAAATATTCCAGCTTTTAAATCGGAAATAGTGCTAGTGAATTAAAATAGGTTTACGGCATCCATTATGTACATTTATACTTCATAGAATAGATTGATTTTGTCTATCACTGAGTTAAAATATTCCCCCCAAATTGTCGTAAAGGCCATTTCTTATCATTATTTTGCCATATATATAGAATACTATAGAAAACATACAGTTTACTATCGAAAACAGGTAACAACACTATATAAAAAACATTTACTACTCTGTGCTCGTGTCCCCTGACTCCCCTCAATCAAAACGCCCGGTATACCCTCCTTTTTTCGCTTGTCAAGGAATTTTTGGTTGTTGATAGGACACTAACTAAAAAAATATGGTTGTGCCCTCAAACTGATTTTGCTTCCTACGGGCCAGCAACTTCTTCATAGACACCCCCCCCCCCCCCACACACACACACACACGAAACATCAATTGCAGTTGTAAGCCGATTCGCTATTCATTGTCATTAATAAAAGGGTCTGAGTTAATAGATGACAATCTATAGGACGTAGATATTTTATTTGTGATATTTTATTTGGCCATGTTACCTAAATCAATAACGTCTCTCCTGTTGATTATTATCTAGTCTACCCCCCCCCCCCCTTCCAAAAAAAAACATCAGTAATAGAAATTTCATGTGCAAATGAAAGTTCATATTAAGCATAGTTACATATCATATACTGTCCATTTCTTTCTCGTTTTAAAAATCTTGTACCTGTACTTAGGTTATACAATATTGTTGAACATGAAAATATTACCAATCGTAATATCGTAAAAGGCGTACATCATCACGAAGAAAATGGATACCTTGTATATTGAGTAAGAGATAATTGTTGTTTAAAAGAAACAAAAATAAAGTATATTAGTATGTAGGCTAAATTAAACAGACAAAACAAAATTCATAAAAGTGAACAAAAAAACTAAACTGCAGGTCAGGCGTTAGACACTCCGGCGGTGGATCTGTCTTTGTATTATAGCAACAATAAGGTAATGGTATTTTAGAAAGGTACGAACACACAGATTATAGGAGCGTAAAAAAAAACGTCGTAAAATGTAAAGACCGCCTTGATCAAAACATAATTTATTCTCAATTACATACAAAAAATATTTAAATACACTAAGCAAGCTTTAAATTTTATATCACTTTTTACTGCATACTGCTGAAGGTACGTAATTTTTTCTTGCTTATCTGAACGCGGTAAGCTTTTTTACGTCAAATCCTATTGTGACGTCAGCAAACCCGCGATCTACCTTAAGTATAGTTAATGATTCGTTAAGTATAGTTTTCATCTGTAAAACTATATTTAACGGTTGTTAACTATAGTTTACGAATGATAATCTAAGTTTTTCTGTCTGTAATAAGCGTTAACAATAGATTTTGTTGATAAACATAGATTCACGTTTGTAAACTATAGTTTACGATTGTAAACTATAGTTAAGAGATGTTAATCATAGTTTCACAAATCGTGAAACTATATTTATCAGATCGTTAACTATAGTTAACAGTTTGTAAACTATGGTTTACAAATTGTGAAACTGTATTTATCAGATAATTTATGTTTTGCAATCGCAAAGGATTGTTTTCAGTGTTAAGTATAGTTTACGGTTGTGAAACATAGATTATCGCGTTAACTATGGTTTACAGATGTAAAATGGACCGCTCTCTGACAAAACCGGTCTTAATGACATAAGCGTTGACGTCGAGAAAACGTGTTTATTGTGACGTCAAATTTTCGCGTCTAAAACGCACATGTATTTTTTTCCTCCGTTCCACTCTCCGTTGTTCTGTTTCATTTTCAGAGTGAAGGTATAAATGAATACGTGTTATGATCGTTGTATCGTGTGTGAAATAAGTTTCTTTGCCATTCTAAAATAGTTTCTTAAGATACCTCGAGCGATATTCTGATATAACTTACATTGTATTACTGTACTGTTTTCTGTGTGATTTTTTTTTCTGCATTTCGCAAACAATTTGAAGGTCAATACACAATATATAAATACTTTATCAAAATTTGTTCAGTTATTTTTCGCTAGATTTGATATCCTAGTGAAATGAATAGTAATACAACGCTGAAACAAATTATGTGTCAAAATTTCTATTCAGGAATACGTAAACCCGCCTCTATGAATGTAAAGTTTTATGATCCACCAAAATTCACAATTGCCATCTTAATTTACATTACGACACTCGAGCCCGACCTCAAAACATAGCGATTTAAGAACCCTCTCTACACTGCACACTAAAGAGTTCTGATTCTAAGGTATTTTTTTGCAGTTAGAGTGATCTGCCCTTAGATCTAAATTCTTAAAATTAGAAATTCACAGTTTATTACACAATTTGTAATCAATTCAGGTATTCTTAACATTTTAAAAGGCCAAGATGAATTAATTGATCATGTTATTTACATGTATTTTCTTTATGGAAGTAAACAACAATGATTTCTATTCACTGATACTGTGTTGTGTTTAAACATTTTTCCTGGGGGTAAATGCCAGGTACCATATGTTGAAAATCATATAAATAAGTTCAAAACTAACACCTTTATAGAATATATTTTTCTCAATATCCAAAAAACATTTTGTACTGGTGTAGAGAGGGTCCTTAAGGGATAAACACAGAAAGAAGAAAAGACGATGAAATATCAGTAAGTATAATGTTTATACTTTGAAAGTTTGCATATATGAAAATTGACAAAATTAAACGAGTTTGATTAGTTTATGATAGGCCTATTTGTGCGTTCACGCATCTTCGCTAGCCAAGGGTTTCTGATACGCTACTCTCCTCATGAACGACTATGAGGAGACTAGCGTATCAGAAACCCTTGTTGTATAATTGTAGCATTAATTTATTGGTTGATGGATTGAAATTCATTTGTTTTCTAATACTTTTTCATGTATAAAACTGCAGTGCGTGTTAAAATTTTTTTTCATTGTATTGCTTGCAGTTCATACACATATTTTATTTAGCACGTATCATATACTTTGATACTTTCCACCCTTCCATTGGTCAACCTTTTAACAAGCGTTGCTTCTGGATTTTAGAATTTATTTATAATTCCTCATTATACTCTAAAAGAATGATATTTTCATTTAATCAATATCAAAAATCTTGAAAAACGATGTGTAATTTCAATGAGCGAATGCCTCCCCCCCTTAAAATTGTAGATTTTATCCTCCTCAAATTTTATAGTAATCAAATGTTTAAAATATTACTATAGTAATCAAATGTTTAAAATTTGAGGAGAAATAATACTTTTGAAGCATAAGAAGTGAAAGCAGTCCGACCCACCCCTCTACGGAATAAGTTTAACACCTTTGAAAGGAGTGTACGTTTTTTTTTGGTTTGGTTTTATTTTCTTTTTGCTCGTCAACAAATTTATAGTTTGGATGTAACTTTTACTTATGCAGAATCCATGCACCCCCTACCCAGGAATAAATTGTGAGGCTTGGATCTTGCCTTGAATCCCCGATACATAATGATGTTAAACCATTAGGGATAGAGAGAGCGGGATACTGTCATACTGAAATATCACAGGCAGTCGCATGTTGACTTGTATGAAATGTGGATAACATACATGACATTATACTTATCTTCATAACTAATCTCTATCTGATAGCTAACAAGATTGACAAACCCTCTCCCTGTAATAACAAAAATGTAGCGATCATAATTTTAAAAAACACTCTCCGTCAGATCTATCATATTTATTATTTTATACTTAAATTCAGAAGCAAAGATATTCTCCGAAAATAAGTGTAAAGTGTTTTCAAAATGGTAGATTTGATTCTACCATGTCATGCCATGTCATGAAAAGTAACTCAAATAAACTCAATTCAATCTGAAAGGGGGGGGAGAGGGGTTTGAATTAAGTACATGTACTTTATCCTCTCTTGACATGCTTGAGGTGTCTGTGGAAGTTCATAATTTAGTTTGTGTTTTTATTGAAAACACACATATTACATTATTTGATTGACTTTTACACAAGTTCGATCATGGAGAGATTTGATCTAAAGTTGCACCGAGAGAAAACGAGTGATTCTTCATGTACTTTATATCAGATACAAACTAAGGGGGGGGGGGGATAATTCACAATTATACACTTAATAGAAAACAAAGCGAATCAAAATTTAACCCTTAAAAGCTTTACCAGTATTAATACTCCTCAAAAGAATATTTAAATAAATTTGGGGTTGTGCACCCCAAAAGTAATGTGAACGCCTTTTTTTTTGGTTTTGTTTTTGTTAATTTTTTCTGTTAGGCTGATCCCCCTCTTTCAACGAAAACTACCTCCTACAGCGTGTGCATATCATGTTAAGTCTTTAATCTAATACTATTTCTTTTCAAATTTTATACAGCAAGTTAAATTCACGCATGTTAGTTAGGTCATCTTTAAAATAATGTTTTCTTACCCTCTCCCGACTTGGGGTAAATTATTGGATCATTAGGCAGGTCGGAAAAAAACATTGCCAGAAAATTTCAACATATTTGTTGACGGAATAAGAGGAATAAAAAGAAAAAAAATATTGTGTCTTGGTATGTAAAAAAAAAAGTCTTGAGTCGGGCCATCTTAAATTTAGACAGCCGATCGGGAGAGAACAACCATTTTTAAAAGATGGTCTTAGCTATTTATTTACCGGATATTAACTCAACACACATTTTTTAAATAGAGTTATGGTTTCTTTTCAGGGTTTGGCAGTCTCAATGTTTAACACTTCTCCGAACGCCATGTAATATTTATTTGACATCTCCGATATATGAGTTATACCTCGTTATGCTCTCCAATGGCCTCTCCACTTCTTGACTCTTTATAAAATCCAGAAATTTGGTTTCCGAAAAGACGATAAATCTCTTTTATTTTAAATTTCTCAACGTAACTGTAGTGCCTAAAGCTAAAATTACACAATGGACCGGATTCAATTATTTGATCTATTCGTTTTCTTGAAATACAGAACTTTTATATACAGTTCATACTGATAACTGCAACGGCCAAAACAAGATTTTTTTTATTAATGGAATACATGTATATGTTTTATATGGCAAATTGTGACGGGGCAGCAGTACAAATCAGTTTATGATACAATTTCAATGTCAAACGCTTGCTGCATTGATTAAAAACTTAGGAGACTAATTCATTGATTAGACTGAAACAATCGTGGAACAGTTTTCACTCTGCTCTCGGGTACCCCGCATGGCAGTGGCTGGAATGAAAGACTTTCCTACATCTCTATGGGGATTTCAAATGTATTCAATTGATTACAAAATACAAAGCCTGGTTTTTTTGTCCGTAGAGGAATAAGGTTCAAAAGCAGAAGTAAAGATCAGCGTATTAGAAGATGAGAAGTTTTACCCAGGATTGACCAGTTTGTTTACTGACCAATGACCTTATTGACGCCCGCAAACATTTATCTGGTCACAATTTCCCATCGGGCCTGTTTAATAACGTATATGTAATGATACTAAGCTTTGTTTTGTATATTAGTTTTCTGTTTCTTTGTTATCATAATTATTTTGTTAATCCTTTATAAACATTTATTATTAACAAAAAATTGTAGTCAACCTTTATGAAATCAATTGGATATTCATATACACAATGTCATTCGCTGTGAAACATGCACAGATAAACTCACTTAATAATTTAATGAATGTGCTTCATGATATTTTTATTAAAAATGTGTTAGGAAAAAAATAATTTATATCAAAATTTAAATTATGTTATTCTATTTTATAATCAAATTGATATTAGACTTTGTTTCAAAAACGTCATTTCTTTTTACAAGATAACATTATTAAAAGTCTTTGTATCTAAATCGTCATTTTTTTTTTTTAAAAGATGACGTTATTCAATAACGTCATTGACGTTTTTATTTAATTGCAACATGTTGTGTTCAAACACGTATAACTTTAAAACTAAAGCAAATTTAATGCTCATAATTTTGACTGTGTGTCCCAAATTTGCTGTAGATTTGAAATATTTGAAAAAGTCAATTTCGAAAATTTTGTCATTAAGACCCCTTTTCCCAGAGAGCGGTCCAAATATAGATTAACGTTGTTAACTATAGTTTACAGTCTGTAAACTATAGTTTACAACCGATAAACCTAGTTTATCGAATGTGAAACTGTTTATCTCATTTTTGTGAATTTGGCGTGCCATAGATAGGATATATGACTGAAAATGTGATGACTTGAAAAAGAATCAAGAAAAGATAACTAGAACTGTCCAATAGAGACAAATACCCCCCACTGGGTTTTTCAGAGAAGGTGCCAATTCACAAATACTTTTTGGACATAGAGGTGTTCACAATTTACTTACAAAAATTTGCAGTGAAATATAATTGCTCATTATGTTTCTTAATGAATGAAACCAGCGACCTATATACTAATAGGACAGGCAACTCCTTCATCGCCATGTTTATTTACCCAAAACATCACGCACAACACTACAAGTTTTTCAATTTAAGTTTATTCCCAGTAAACAGGATTTTTTCTGATTATTATCATTTATGATTATCATGTATTGAAATTGATTTATTAATAAATTTTAAAACATAATAAAAGTAAAATTTAAATATAAAGAAAACAAACACTGAAATCGGCGATTTCTCGGAAATATGGCCGATCGGGGCATGCGCTGATTTTGCATAAAACAAAATTACTACTAAGATAAGGAGTATAATATGTGCTAAAAACATACCTTGAATGATTTTTTGACAGATATTTAAAGGATTTGATCTCAAATATGCGACAGCTTTAGAGATATAATTAATTAAAGTTGACTTACGAAATCCCACGACTTAAGAGATATCGTGAGACTTGCGGTAGTTGCCTATCCTATTAGCATATAGGTCCCTGATGAAACCAAGGTGCAATTAAATGAAACATCAATACTTATACATTGTAATTCCATTGTAACATATTTTTTTTTATTTCTGCATAAAAAAAATATATTGCAACTATGTGTCATGACGCTCTGCAAACTGATTGTTGAAAAAAAAAATCATATTATACAAACTTCAAAACTTTCTATCAAATTCATTTTGAAAATAAAGAGCTGGTCATCCAGTAATGAAGTGATTTGACAGACAATAAATAAGAGAAGAGAGATCTTTAATTCTTGTGCCAATTTCCCAGGAGATAATAGATAAAACATGGTTGATAAGAGATGCTTTAACAACTTCCCACACCAAACTCATTAATTTATCTTTAACTGGATGCATGTCCAGTCATTATTCCCAAGAGACAAATGAATTTACACTATCTTCTGTGTAATGTAAAAACTTTTTTAACACTTGATGATGTTTCCTTTTTTTTAGTTTTAATGAGTAGTTTTAAGCTGTAATTCACATTTTTATACAGATATTCTAGACTCTATGTCTCAAACCTTATACATGAGCCCAAAATGAACAAGTCAATTAAAATAAAAACTAAAACCTGTTAACTGCAGAAAATGAACAAATAAAGTTGAAAATTCCAGGTGCACACCTTCATATGGTGAATAATAAGTGTACAATTTTTTAGATAAATCCTTGAAACAGTTTCTGAGAAACAGTCTGCACAAAACCACAAAATTAAAATGAAAAAACACCTGTAAAATTCAAAAAAAGCATCCAATCAAGATGAAAATATCAGGTGCACACCTTCATATGATGAATAATATGTGTACAAATTTTCAGACAAATCCTTCTAATAGTTTCTGAGTAATGGTCCGGACAAAAAAAAAATGATTAAAGAAAGTAAACCAATACTGTAATTTTGAAATATATGTATAAAGATTTGGCCAAATTTTGGTATCCAATGCATTCTAGAAACCAGTAATCAACACACACACATCTGGAAAAGTCATAATACACTCAGTAGGCACAGAACAACATATTAAGTCTGACTTCTTCACATTGTACTTAGCTTACTAGAAGAGTTGCCTGTGAAGATCAGCGTTCCATTTCTGAAGAGTCTGTATTCCTTGATGACCCCATTAGGATAATCTGGTTCCTTCCACGTGAGCCACAGCACTGTTGAACTGTTCTGTTGGTGCTCTGGTGGGGGCTGCTGGGCTGGTTCTAAAATTTCAAACATAAATTATAAAGTAGAATTCATATAACATTGTAACAACCCCCCCCCCCCCTCCACATACAAATAGATCAAATAAAATGGTGTCATTGTCCTAGGTGATCTGTGAAGGGGACATAAATGCAATATATGTAACAGAAGAGGCCATTATACACATTTTAGCATCCCATCTTCTCTCAAATTACTGAATCAATTCAAACTACTTCAACAGATAAGTAATCCAACATAGGATCACTTTTAATTCAAACTCTCCCTAACAATCATTTCATGGACTGAACATAAAACTTTAGCTCAGTCTATTTCCTCACCTTTACTACAGCCATAAGGGTTTTCACTGCTGATGTAACTGGCTCCTGATATACAGGCATCACACCTCCGACCTTCCACAAACTGTTTACAGAAGCACTTCCCCGTGATGATGTCACAAGTGGAATTCAAGCTGCCTGCCACCTCACACTCACAGGGACTGCAGCTGAAACAATACAGTACTGTTATAACTAAGTGCCAGAATGGTTTTAATTTCAAAATTTATCATATACGTTAACTTTACATGTTTTAAAACTGATCAAATTATTTTGGTTACATTTGTATTAGTGAATGTGAACTGTTTCGTTATATCCTAGAAAAATTAATATTGAACTAATCAGAGGTTTAATCAAAGGATAAAGATCGATGTAAAATATTACGTTTACTTACAAAAATACCTAACAGTTGATGTGAACCCCCTGGAAAAAAATTCAGCATCCTCCTCTTCATACTATAATGCCCCTAATCTAGAGTTATGATTGTCTGCATACATCCCTAATTTTGAGTTACAATTGTCTATAAATGTCCGTAATTTAGGACTATTATTATCTACATATGCCCCTAATCTAGAGCTTTAATAGTCTACATACGTTCCTAATCTTGAGTTAAAGCCATAGAACCCCTCCTGACACTCCTCACAGGTCCGTCCCGTGATACCCGTATTGCTCTGTCGACACTGACACTGCCCCGTCAGTGAGTCACATGACGTTTGTTCGTACGTACTGGCGTAGTGACAACCGCACTGCTGACAGCCTCCACCCGGCTCCAGTCTCGTAAAATATCCTGAAAAAAAAATAAGATGAATTATAATGATGAATGTCCCCAGTGGTCAAATTTGGATTGGATTACATGCTGAACTTTACTACAGCTAAACTATTCTAAAGAGATGGGAAATAGGATGCCATTATCTCAGGCAGGTAAAAAAAGATGGTCCTGAAAGAGCAAAAAGGACCCCGAGGCAATTTCATGCATTACAAACTTTGGAAATTTGTTTTTTGAAAATTCCAATTGATATACACTAAGAAATTATATAACAGGATTCAGGATATCTTTTGCATTCCATTTGAGCATTGTACTCAGAATTAATATCTAAAATGACTTTAAATTGCTTGATAAAGGTGAATCAGTACCTTGTGCACAGTCATCACATCGTCTCCCTATCCTGTTAGCCAGGCACGTACACTCTCCCGTGTTCTGGTCACATGACAAATCGTCAGGGTGGCTGGAGTTACCTCCCTTTGTCCCTGTGGGATCACAGTTACAGGGTTCGCAGCCCTCTGTGATGTTCACACTCAGTCCAAAAGTGTTCCCACTGCACTGATTACAACTAGTCCCTACCACGTTCTCCTTACACACACACTTTCCAGAGTTTTTGTCACAGACCAGGGAACTGTTAATGGTTCCTGCCAAATTACAGATGCATCCATAGCATCCTTTGGTTGCCGATCCTCCAAATCCGAAACTGCCGTCTTTGCACTCATCACATGCCAGTCCCTGGACATTTTCTTTACAAACACATTGGCCTGTTCTTTTGTCACACACTGTACCTGGCACCGTGCCAAGAGAGTTACAAGTGCACACCTTGCAGCCGAGTTCAAAGTTTTGGTAGTTGTCTGTACACTGGTCACACTTGCGTCCTGTCACATGGTCCTTACACTGACATTGACCCGTGACCGGGTCACAGAACTGGGAGGTGGAGCCCTGGGGGTTACATTCACAGGGGGAGCAGCCAGCTGGATTGCCTGCAGTCAGGTTGAAGTACCCATGCTCACAATCTGCACATTTGGCCCCTTTAAAAAAGTATTCATCTACATGTATAAAGGCATTTTCATTTTCTATCCTAATAGTAGTGATTGTGACTTTTTGAGGTATTCATACAGCATCCAGTTATTAAAGTCAAACTGAAATGAACTACCCCAGTAAGCAAGAAGCAATCTCTTCAGTTTTCATTAAACAAAGTTTGCACATTTCATATACAGTTACCATGCATACATGTAATTGTGCCCATAATTGTAGTTTATATCTCATTAGTCATAACTGTAGTTTTTATTTCATACATTTGATTTAAAGGTGTTTTACTTTCACTTTTGGATGCCCATTCCAATAAATTATCTCTTGTTTTAATAAATATGCATAAAATTATACATTTTTTATCTGATTCTAATGATTTTAAATACAAACATCTAGTACATGTAATTTGGTTATTTACCTCTGGTGTTTTGTTTACAGTTACAGGTGCCTGTTTTGGTGTCACATGACACATCTCCATTGAGTGTACCATCCGTGTTACAGGAGCAGTTTTCACAGCCATCAGGGTTAGAGGTCAAAAGGTTAAAGAAGCCCGGCAGACAGAGGTCACACTGTCGACCCCCTGTGTTGGCCTTACACTGACATTGTCCTCCATCCTGTAAAAGTCAGTAACATAATATTGTAGTTCAAAAATCTACTTACAAATTAACTGCTGTCAGCATGCACTGGAAGAGAACAAAATGTAATAGGAAAGAGAACATAAATTTACATAAAAATGGAACAAAACTTTATTTATCCTCCTCTCTTCTTCTCATCATTTATTGTTGATTATACATGTATATGGAATGTTTAGTAATAAAATTGTTCTTAAACTGTATTTTCTTTTGTTATATATAAATCTTATGCAGTCAAATACTATATATTACAGAGGCTTAAATTACAGTATTTCATGCCATCACTGGATGGCATAGGAGCACATATTTTAACACAAACCTTTTTACAATCCAGCTCTCCTCCTTCAACCCCTGCTTCACTACACAAACAGGGTACACAAACATCGGGGTCATATTTACTCCTGCCCCGGGGCCTGTAGTACAGGGGGACACAGGTCTCACAGAACTGACCACTGGTGAAGTGCTGACAGTTCACACAGACTCCCCCTCCCCCCAGGTCATGGTCATCTGGGAAAAGGTCAAGGGTCGCATTGTAGACACAGCTGTCAGAGTGATTGTGACATTCACATGGCTTGCAGTCAAAGGAGTTAACTAGATCACCATCACGATAGGGCTTGTTGTTGTAAAGTGGCTGGCACTCCTCACACTTAATATTTAAATAAAAGCAAAATGATGTTAAGAAAATTCTGGACACAACTAGAAAACTGACCAGTCAGCAAGGGCCCCGCCATGGGGTAGAATTAAAAGGGTGCAGCTTACGGAATGATTCAAAATGTACAAAGAATAAGCAACAGCAACTGTATTCTTAAAATTTCAAGATAATTCCTGAACATTCAAAAACCTGAAAATAATATCCTTGTACTTACATTAGGCAGTAAAGAATGACTTAACATTGAATGTATATTTAAACAATTATGAAGCTTGTGTTATATAAAATCCAGCCTTCAATGAATGCAAATATCATGAAGGCTTGACCTTAACTTCAAACAAACAGCAGTTGCAGACAAAGGTTTTCATTAATCTTAAAGACAGATAAAGAAAAGCCTACTAAATTTTCTGCAGCAGGCTAGATAATTAATCCCAAGGGATTAATTGTACCTCTCTCATCATTTTCTTTTAAAGTTACAATAAGAACTTTTTCAGTATTAATGATAGAATGGGGTTTTTATACAACTACCTTAAAAATTAATAATATTCTTGAATTAACATAAGTAACAAAAGTAAATCAAAAAATCTTCTTTAATCTATTTCTTGTTTTTAGAATTCAATGAAATCATAACTATTAAACAAAAATAAATTATGAAAATTTATATTCAAATCCACATTTCAGAGTGTTCATAGCATTCCAAATTTACTTAACTTCAAAACAAACTTCATTTGCAGACAGAGGTGGTAATTCATCTCAATGTGACAGATAAAGATAATGCTCTGGATTTTCTTCAGGAGGAAAGCTAATTAATCCCAAGGCACTCATATAGCAGCATTCAGTTTACAATGGGAACATCTTCAGCAGTTATCTCTCTTTGCCAATGCATTCTTATATAAAGTTAAGGAATGTACCCCACCACCCCAGCTCCAAACCAGGGGACATAGAGAACCAAACTTAGCATCAAAATATGTATTTTTGCCTACTGAACTACCATACCAAATTTGAACTTGATTGGGCAACCATAAAAAAAGTTATTAGAAAAAAACAGAAAATTTGCGGACGGAAGAGTGACAGACGGACAGACAGACGGACAGACAGACAGACAGACAGAGTGATTACTATAGGGCACCCGCAAATCCTTGCGGGGCCCTAATTACATATGTGTTGATCTCTGTGATTTAACAAATGAAAAGGGCTGATCAAAAAGCTTGTGGACCTTCAGCTCAGATGGACCAACTATACATTTGTAGAGTGAAGTTAGCAGTAGAACATTAACTAAGTTTTACAAGAGTTACTCTTTTTTAACTACAGGGAATACCGGTACTAGGTGATCCAAAGGATCTTTCCTACCTTGTTCCCTTGTGTAAAACTCTCTGGTAGACAGCTACAGTTGTAAGGTCTGGTGATGCTATCGCAGGTATAGGCATGGCCATGACAGTTACATCTACAAAACAAATCTCATATGTTAAATGGCTAAGCTTTTCCTTAAGACAGTTTTACCCAATTTATATTTCAAATTCACTTCAAGATATCTGCTTGATAGAGTTGCTTACCCTCTCAAAGATCAGGCAGTGATCTATTTCTCTATAGGACAATTAATATGGTGACAATTTTTAAACTATGTACCGGGTACATGTATTTTCAGCATAAGTACAATAATTGGAAAAGACATTCAAGTACATGAAAATGGGCTCTATAACCTCTTCTATAAATTCTTTGAAAAAATATCAATTGAAAAGAAAAATAAGAAAAAAGAACAAACCTTCCTTTAATGATGAATTCAAAAACCCCGAAGTACTCATGTCTAAGATTGGTTACCAGCTGATGGTCCTGTAGTTTGACTCGGACTTTTGAGGCTCGTACAAATTCCTTCAGTTTCGGGGTACCGTAAAAGTCATCTTTCCCTGGTCTTTGTACTGGCTCAGCTGCCAGGAGGCTGAATGTAATGTTCCCCTTGGAGTAGTGGGTGTTCTCTTTATCTCTGAACAGGAAATGACACAACATAAAGGAACAACCAATCAGAAGGGAATGTTAAATTTATACTTAAGTATTATAAGATTTTATCAAAAAGAAAAATGTACGGAGATTTGACATTGATTTATCAATCTTTGCACAGCTCCATTATCTTCATTGTCATGTATCTTGAATACCAAGGATATGTCAAAATCCCTTTTTTACATGTTTTAACCCTCTTAATCTCAAATCCTTTGATATCTTGAAGTTTCATATTAGCCTAGCTATCAAATTTATGATAACAAGATTTTACTGCGCAGCTAGGATAAGGCTGCCCGTAAAATACCAAACTTCTCAAACTGTAGTAACTTCTCTGAACTACCTAGATATGACGTCATAAAAGAATATGACGTCAAGTCACTGCATACTTGAGCTGACATGACGGGGAAAGTGTCATAATTATTACACGGCATGTAGATTTATTATGGGGATTTGTGTTTAATTCAAGAGTAAGGTTTGTTTTTTTAAGCTTGTGTGTGCTGTCATAATTTTTAACATTTGATATTTAAATATCTCCATTCCTTTTGCTTCTCCGATATGCATATATTCAAACAATAGCAAAAAATTATGTTTGAAACGCTCCCCTTACACTTTCGTAGACAGAGTTAGAATTTATGAATCATGTTTATATTGGACTGGCACAAGTGAAAGACAAGGATGAATTGAAGATATTTTGCGTGAATCTAAAAGAGAAGTATGTCTTCTAACTGAATTTTGCTGGGGGATCGTATGTAGTTTATCCGTTTTTGTATAAATCGCGATAAAGAGTGGAAAATACCCCTTCTTACGTTGGTAATTTTAATTTATCGTAAAATAATTTCTTAAGAAGAAAAAATTAAACCTGCCCCCAGCACTTTTTAAGTACAATGGATCACGATGAATTGGTCTATGAAACAAACTTTGCACAATAATTGTGTTATGCACTTGTGCCGATGCGATTTTTGTGCAACATTTAAGAATATCAAAAATGTCCGTCACGTGATCAACACAGTTATCTGACATCACAGAAATGCTTTATTATAATACCTGATTAAACTGTTATCTCAAGTAGACTGCAATTTAAATTAAGGATAACATATTGAAATTAAAATCTAGCTCAAAATAAAATGTATATTTTTAAGACATTTTAAGCCTTCGGTCAGCCTTATCATAACTGCGTGTATGTTTTCATAAAAACCAAAAAAACTGTTCTATTATCAGCTAAAAACTAATTTCAATATCTAAAACTTGTAGCACATGCTCAATACAGTAATTGTCAACCAAGACTATCAAAGAATATTTCTCTTCACAATAAAGACAATGATTTAACACAACAGACCTTTTGAACTTGAGACAGTTGACTGAGTCAGGCTTTGGGAGGGGACCATCGTCTGTCTGACTGAAGTATTCCTGACAGTCCGTTGCATACATCTGCCATTCCTCCCAACTCCCCTCCAACTCGCGAGAAATAAGGACCGCCCGGGGGAGGGGACTGTAGAACTGAAGGTTAAGGAAGAACACCTGGAAGATAAGGTTAAAAACTTGATTATAGGTAAGAAAGTTGTAAGAACTTGTACCTGATCCTTTTGTGATAATAATAAAATATGATCAAATCAATTAAAACTTTAACATTACAATTCTCTAATTTTTTTTATTTGGTATTTCCTCCTTTAATAATAGCCTCATTTTTAATAAAACTGAATATAAAACAGATCTAGGGGGATACCTTTTTTTTAAATTACATGTATCTCTTTGTAAATTTCTACTACTGTAAAATGCTTCAAGTTAAATCTGAGTATTTTCTACTTTATAATATTTAATGTCATATTTTAACTTCAAAAAATGTTCTGAAAAAAACAACAACAAAGAACCACTAAGAGAATGTCTAATAATGTGAAGATAATCCACCCAAATTACCCCAGTATCCTAAATGATTCATTTTCCAATGAGAAATTGGAAAATTGGACAAGTTTCATTTTCACTTTCTTCAAATTTTGGCACTTTTGATGATTTTAGATGATTTTAATTGCTGTACAGGGGGCCATTATTTCCTTACAATTGAAAAAGACCTACCGGTAATGGCATTTATAGGGGCAGGGGTGGTTAATAGGGATTATATGGTATCGCTAAAAATTAATAAGACTTTATTTGTAAAAGCTTCTTTAGTGACCTTTTTAAGATCGCTAAAATTACATCTCGCTAAAGATAAAATACCAATTTTTTAAGGACAAATCACTAAATTTGCATCTCGCTACAATTTCCACTTACTCGGTATTTAAATCTATTGAGTGCACTTGTTTTCTTTATTAAATAACCACCTGAAAATCGTCCTCCAAGTTGATGGTGAGCTCTATGTGGTTCTGGAACTGTGAGATCCAGTACGTGTTGCTGTCTCCGTCGTTCAGGAACTCCAGATTATGAGCCTCCGCGTTGAGTCTGAGCACGGCGTTGTTATCAGCGTCGTCCACGCCGTTAGCGATACAGTAGTGTTCCATCTGAGGCTTGATCCTGGGGTGGGAGGCCTGACATCTACACTCAGACTGAAGGCGGACGCTCGGAAGACTGCCGCTGTACACCTCCTGAATTTCTCTTGAAAGATATATTACCCAGTATCAAATGTAAATAATAATAAGCATTGTAAATTTTTAGTTCTTTTTTCAAGCATTTATCAAATTGAGCTCCAAAATATCATTTTTACTGATATCAGTTATAGTAATGCTGATGGGAAAAATGATTATTTATCACCAGTGGGTGTATATGTATATGTCTATTTACTTTTTACAATTAAGTTTACCTGTTAGTCAGAGTCTCTGCAAAGAACTTTACATCCTGGAGACGTCCCAAAAACTGATTTGCACCTGAAAATCATTTTGCATGTGAAAGTTTGTCCCAGCATCAAAAACATTTAGAAACACAAAATTATTGTAAATCACAAATTATTTAATGAAAATTGTAATTTTTTTTATTATTCTTTTTAAATCAGAATTGACCAAATTAAAGCATAATTTTCATTCCTTATATTTAAACTTCATGCAATTTTCAAAACAAATGCTTCACCTGTGATACTTTGTCCTATTCTGCTTTGACCTTGAACACTGTCCTTGACCTGACTGGCAAGGACAAGTGTATCCACAGGTAGAAAGCCTGGCTGGACCCCATTGATGTAGAAACTCAAACTGGTTTTATACACCTAAAATTATATCAAAAACCATTAGTTAATATTGGTTTGCTAGTCTCTCTCTCTCTTTCTCTCTCATTATCTCTCTTTCTCTAGACTTATATTCAATAAAAAGGTACCGTAACTGTTTGATTAGTTTACTTCATGGCAATTGGGTATCATAAAATTCAAGAGTTTATTCAAATATACACATCAAATATTGACAGTTTCATTGAACAACATTAATCCATTAACTCTGATATCAAATTTAATGCAACCAATCAAACAAGATAGAAAGTTTGCCAAGCATTGGTTAAAACACACAAAGTTAAAAGAAATTTACAAGCATGACTTATATATAAAGCTATTTTGAGTTTACTTTAAATTGGGAGTGTTTTGTTGGATGTTATTAAATTGTTATTGTACAGTGTTATTATTTTTCTCTCCATAAATATGAAAAACAGTGGGCTGGGCAAAAGAAAAGGCAAAAGAAAAACGTGGTCAACATCTTGAAAATGATTAGAAAACAAAACATTTCAGTGTCATTTGAATGCTTCCTGCTGAAACACAAGTTTAAATGTTCCGAAAGTGGTTATACACTACATGTACCTATGGCATGCCCCTCGCAGCCATTTCAAGGCAGGGGAATAACAACAGAAAAAGTAGCTATTCGATACAGAACTTTGGCTTTTTTCTGGATAGTCAATAGCACAAAGGTTTCACCTTTGACAGACTGACACCCTAACAACTTCAATTTGCAAAGGCCTTCAATTTCAAATTCACCAAAAAGTAAACATTCCACATATTGTAAAGATTGAAAAGTTTATGAAAAAAAATCATTCAATATATAAATAATTAAATACCTTTTTCAATCATACACATTAATTCAACTCCAATTTTAAATACACTGTAGCTTTGTTTTTCTAGTGTACCTGAATGGCGAGGTGGATCCAGGTTCTCTGTGGAATCTTCTCTCGACAGGTAACTGTAGCGATGCCGGCCTGACCCCGATACACCATGGACAGCTGGGACCGAGCCAGTAAGACTTCAAGCACCAGGTCTCCATCATCTGACACCTTGTGGAAAACGGTACTACAAGAAAGACAGAAAAATGCATTGAACTTCAGTGTTCACATTTCTGAGAGAACTTTTCAAAAATAATACACTGTTCACATGGAGAGTTTAATTCATATTAAACTTAAGTTACTGTGAATTAAATTTGAATCACGTTCACTAGGAGAAGTTAAGGTAGATTGCGGGTTTGCTGACAATAGGATTTGATGTAGAAAGCTTAATCGCATTTGCAGTAGCAAATTACAAACAAGCAAAAGATATCTTCAGCAATGTATGCAGTATAAAAATGGAATATACAGTTAAACTTGTTTGGTCTGTAAAATATTTATTTATACACGTATGTAATTGAAATTAAGGATGGATCAATGATTAAAGTGAGACCAGTTTTCTTTATTGTTGGGAAATGCAAGGATTTTTAAAGATTCTTCCTGTTTATATTCCTGTTTAAATATTATATCTCATTGTGGCTGCACCCTACCCCAGGTCATGATCTGATAAACTTGAATCTACACTATATACATGAGGATGCTTCCACCAGTATTATCTTTTCTGGCCCATTGGTTCTTGAGAGGGAGATTTTAAAAAGATGCCATTTATATATCTTTCATTCATAATTATCTTCCCTTGGAGGAGGGAGTGGCCCTTCATTTGAACAAATTTGAATCCCCTAAACCAAAGTATACATTGTGGCAAGTTTGGTTGATATTCACTGCCCCCAGTGGTTCTTGAGAAGACGAAAATGTGAAAAGTTAAAGATGACAACGACAGAAAAGGAACACATGATTTTGAGCAGAAAAGCTCAGGTGAGCTAAAAACACTATTATCCAATTAAAGTCAAAAACATTTTTTGTCATTACACCAAATTTGAAATTCAGAATTAGGTAAAATGTATAATATCAAACAAATAAATGTTAATTAACAGTAAAAAAAAAAAGTTTCCTTCTTTGACATTGTTTGAGAAAAGTTATCATGAATTATATAATCAAAACTTTGCTAATTCATTCATTACTTTCCTTAAGCAAGCAATTACATTTCATTACAAAATCTGGATATATTTGAAAAAAAATTGTTTCCTCTATAATATTTTTCCCTGTAATAACAAACTACATTTATCAATCTTATTCATTTAGTAATTTTTGGTGTATAGGTGTATATATACCTGGGTTAACAGGACATTTAAATGTATATTTATATCTACCCAGGAAGTAAATTACAAATCTCGACTAAGTCTCGGCCAAAATCTCACTCTGACATTCCAAAGTACAATATATGCATTTAGAGGTCATTTACATCAAAAGTAAGTAGAGGGTTGCCTGAGGACTTTTTATTTGAATTTTTCACAAAAAGGGCATTTTTAGGGCAGGTTCTCTAAGATAATTTAATATTTTAATTCAACAGAATAGTTTAAAAACTAACTTCCTTTATGGGGGAAATTTCCTCTTTAGCCTGGGTAGATAGAGTATCTGAATGGCGAGGTGGATTCAAAACATATAAACAACCAAAACATATTGAATGTTTTCATTCAGCTTGAAGTATAAGTACTTCAGCCTAAACTAATAAATTCAAGAATATTAATGCATGTAACAAACTTTAAACTTTAATTTCAGATGGCACATTCAAAACAAAAAATTCCAGGCACTGCTCAACACTTTCTGGAGTGTGGTACTCAAGATTGTGAGAGAAATTGTGAATTTTACTGCAATTCCTGCCATCATCAGATGTGTAAACCATGCAGAGACCAACATCTAAAGATTCCAGAAAACAAGAACCATGAAATGGTCCTTTATCAGCAACGTAGACGACAAGTCCCCGTGAAGAAATGCAAGATCCACCCCACAAAAGAAATAGATATTTTCTGCAAAGAATGCAATATTCCTTTATGTTCCAAGTGTTCAACAATGCAAGAGCACCATGGACATATATTTACCGATTTAGAGACTATTTATATAGAGAAATTTACTCTTTGCCAAAATGAACTCTCTAAAATTCATAATTATTTCATTCCTATATCAGAGGATTTACAGAGAGAAGTTCAGGAAGATGCCACAGAAGTTAAACAGATCACGGACAGCATACGGACATCCATGAAGGCTGAAGCAGAGTCTCTCAAAAACATGGTGGACACAGTGCTCTCAGAAAATATGGAAGAATTACACAGAATAGAGAAGTCATTGCTGGAGAAAATAAAGAGCCAAGAGAAGACATTTGATGATTATATTACCTATCTTGGTGACCTTGTTAAAGAGTTCCAGAGTTACCTATCCTCTACTGAGCTCACTAACTTCACAACTCAACTTCCAGACAACTTAAAAATAAAATCCATACCAGAAACCACCAAACCTGTCACACCAGAATTTTCTCCTTCTCAACACAACAAAGATGATGTTGCAAAATTATTAGGAAACATAATTCAAACAGATAGAAAGGCAGAACTTAGAAGAGTCAAGTCAATGGAAATTCCTCCTATTGCTACATCAACGAAATCTACCAGTAAACAGCCAGAAAAGGACAAATCTGAAAAGAAACAAACATTGTCTCTATCTGCCTCTGTCACCAAGGTCAGGGAGTTCAATGTACCAGGTGTTAGTGATGTATTCCATGTATCACTAGATCAGCTAGACAGACTCTGGATTAGTGACAGTTCAGGTAATCTTGTCCAAACAGATCTACAGGGGAATGTTATACAGAAGATAAAAACCAGTGGTGGAATGGAAGGTTACCACACAGTCATACAGGGCAGGGATCAGATCTTTACAGACCAAAACAAGAAAGTCATCAATAGGATAACACAGGATAATAAAATCACAAAATTCATTAAATCTGGAGACTGGAGACCAATCAGCATACACTCCTCCCACATCAACGGGGACTTACTGGTGGGAATGAGGAAGGATGGAGATGGTAAAGTCACCAGGTACAACAAGACAGGGAAAGAACTACAGAACATACAGAGGGATAATAAAGGACAGGAACTGTATAAGCTACCATTATATATCACAGAAAACATCAATGGAGATATCTGTACATCAGACTATTATAAAGGAGTAGTGGTGGTGAATAAATCAGGACAATACAGGTTCTCCTACAGAGGTCAGAAATTATTACTCTCTCCCTATGGAATCTGTACTGATGTGCGTGGTCACATCCTGGTGTGTGATAGTATCTGTGACACTGTTAACCTCCTTGATCAGGACGGACAGTTCTTGTCTCTATTACTCACAAAACAACAAGGGGTACCCCGTCCCCGTAGTATGTGTATGGATGATGAGAACAATCTTTATGTGGGACAAAATCTCACCAACACAATGACAGTGTACAAGTATCTTACATGATTCTTACTTTGTCACAAACACATTGGTTGTAGTTTTAATTTAGTGTACAGAACAGAATAAATTATGTGATCTCAAGAGTAGATATTGGCATTCCCTAGGCAATTTTTGCTACAGGTAGAACACATGAATATCGTCGCAAATAAAAAGTAATTAATTAAGTATATTAAAAAAAACAACATGTATGTAGAACAGAAAAAACAATGGCAACTAGTGCTAATTGTAACGGGGACCGTTACAGATGTTCCCCAAACGCTCCCCATGTCCCTTTCCGTGCCTTATTCCTCTAAGACCTTTTATAAATACGCTAAGTATCCAAGGATTTCATTTAAGAATATAAAAGTTACAATGATATCAACTATATATCGTTTAACGTTTTGCATGCGCGCACACATACATGTACATGTATGTGCAAGATGATTATGGCATGTTGGTTAAGCGATTAACATATCTTTATATCCCGCGAATCAAAGAAAAATATACATATATAAAGTTACCATTTTTCAAGCATATTAATATATCGATTCACATTTTATTTCTCAACTTATTTTAACCTCGGGCTCAAAGTTGGTTTTATTCCGACGACAAGGCAGGGTTAAAGTCGACTAAGGGTATCACGCCGATAGCTAACCAATCAAAATGAACTTATTCAATAGTAGTTCCAAGCATGGAAAAGGGATTTTCCTTTCTGTTCAGATTTTTTTTTATATATTTCCTCTCAGGCCATTTCGACAACTCTGGTACCTGTGCCTAGTAAACTTTATATACTTTGTAAATAAATATATAAAGGTTTTTAACCGGAACTATTCATTTTATCCAATGCATAGGGGCTACTTTCTGGGGTGTACAAGAGATGTTTAAAAAGACATTCGTGTCAGCTAATGAGACCAATATTGTTTAACACCTTCTTATTAATATTTTTCATGAATGCAAATACCTGATTATTTTACGAAGGAGCGTACATGTATATTGATTTTTAATATACCAAAAATCGCTATTTTTGGGGATTGCGTAATTCTAAAATAATTCAAATAAATTTCAAAGGTAAAATAAACAAAGGATGCTTGGTATCAAAATATTATTTCAAATCAGTAGAATTGGATGCTATTAACGACATTTGAATAAATAGGCTATAAAAGGCTTATATACCAACTTTGTTCATCTGCACTTAAATTTCCATCTTCGCTAGCCAAGGGTTTCCGATCCAATACCTACTCTACAACCCTTGGCGGATTTAGTCCTATCAAACGGGAACTTTGATTGCGCCGCCTATCGCCGTAATTGAGTTAAGTCCCTTGAAGCTCTTTAATAGTTGTCCAATGAAAATAGCTGTAACATACGTAGATCAATATGACGTTTTAAACAATATGGCGACCTCCATGTGGAATATATCCAAACAACTTCATACAGCTGTGGGCAGTGGGCACACCTCAAAAGTGGTAGAAAGTATCGTTCTTCGTGGATTTTTAGTCAAGAATTTGAAACTACTTTCTACTTGTTGCCGTATCAATTATTATCAATGAGCCGTGACATTTGATTGGCTTAAATTGATGCATCTTAAATGCGGAACACGGACTTATGTGGTCCATTAAATAATTCTTGAAAACATATATAATTAAAAGAAAAAAATTCAAATTAATTAATCCCTTGTTTTTTAAGTATAAATCACGTCCTAACTTTCATCCATTG